GACATTAAACATGATATGACCCGAAAACACCTCCACACACGCACGGTTGAAAAACTGTGTGGCTTCCCCTGATTCCTGGTTCCCCTTCCTCATTCACCTGTGACTCCCTTTCTCGACTTTGCCCAGGGGTGCAGGTGACGTAGAAGTGGAAAGCAATGTTTACATGTAGTACCTGACTTACCACACACAACACAACACACATCAAAGTGGAGACAGCAACAGCCATAAACTAAATACAATTCAAATGTCTTGCTTTAGTATGATAAGGATCAATTCAAATCAGGCGTGTGCTCAACCACATGTATCACAGGGATCTACACCAGCGCTCTCACAGTGCTTGTGTCACCCAAAAGGGGGTGTGGTTACTTTGGCAACAGGGAAGTTACCTTTGACTGCTCTCCTCCATACGGGAATGATTCTGCCAGGTATTACAACATAACTCACTGCAATACAACAGCTCCACAATCTTAAGCTTCATAAATACCATCAAGGTGAGTCAACACTTCCAGGTACGCACAGTCAGCTGTTACTTCAGGAAGTGATCTCTCTCTGATCTGCAAACTACTGTTCAACAATGGAGATGATTTCAAACAATAACCTTGATGAAGCTCAAACAGAAATCACACGGCAGCTTTGTCCATCCTTCACAATGCCAGAAGGATATGTTTCATGTTTGTTCCCTTTAAATTAAACTTCTTGTCAATCACCCAGAAAACAAAAACTGGACCTGAAGTAGATCACACGTATATAATATAATCTTTAACCTTTTTATGAAGGTCAGGTAACATGGGACTCTAGATGACGTTTCTCTGTAAGTGAAGAATGCAGACTTTAGCCTTTTCCTTCTTTCTAGAAACATCAGTAACCAACTGGGGGACGTGTCCTTCTGTGCTGTTTCAGTAAATGTTTTATTATCAATTAAGAATCTCTGGGAAAATAAAAAGGACTTTCACCTCTTTAAATCATTGCAGCTACTTCTCCACCTCCTGTTTTGATTTTTTTATTGAAGGTTTTTTTTTTTAAATTAAAACAGAAACAGGCAATGGGAAAAAATACAAGGAAAAACTCTAAACATAAATTATTCAGAGGCTATATGTTCGCAAGCCTGCCTGACTTTTAAAATCATTTCCTGTTTTTTACTCCATTTAAACCAGCCGAGCAGTTGCTGCTTACTTTGTCTCAGTTTGTTTGTCTCATATATGACATGCATCTTGTAAAATGATAAAGGTAACAAAACAAAAAGATGTAGACAATAGGAGAATTTTTAACCTACGTGCAAGCTAAAAACTGCAGACTGTCTGAATGTTGTTCTACTGTTCGACTGACTATAACATCTATGCACGGAGAGTTGAAAATGTCCTAAATTTGTCATCTATTTGGAATAAATTCAACCTCCTCAAGACTGTTTATTAACCAGCTTTATTCAGAAAATGATTAATATGTTAGAGCAATATTTTTTTTAAGGACAAGAGCAGCAGTATGGTGACCCAAAGAAACCTGACCTTTCAAGCTGTCACACTGATGATATATGACTTCAAATGACAGAAAGGAGAGGGCAGTAAGTCTAGTTATCTAGATTAGCATAAGGAAGGATAAAGTGGTATCTAACATCTTGATGTTTAACAGCACACTATACTAGTTTTATTTCAAACAGACATATGGCAGCAATCACACCGTGTAGTGGTAAGAAAACTGTAAACAAAGTGAACATGGATTGCACAATCAGCCCTATAACGACTTGCAGGAAGTCTGAATGATCCCGGATTTACTACAGGAACAAATCAAAGCATGAACTTTCAGGACACAGGATGCTCCCTGAATGTTATCCTACTGCGGTCCTACCGGGACGAGCTCAGATGAAAACCGACCCCATAATTGCTGCAGTCGAGACTGCTGTGGGAATTAGGGAAGGCTAGCATGTGACCGGTCAGATAAGGCTGGATGGCTGGATAATTCCACCGCCTGCGAGTGTGTGGTCACATGTGATCATCAGAGTGGGAACGAGGAATGTCCAAACCACCGCACAACAAGCGGCAATAATGAAGGTTTGCCACACATGGACTTAAATAATAATGGAGTATCTCAGCTGGAAATATCTTACACTGTATGTAATGCAGAGGACAGGTGAGTCTGTCAGGACTCTGTTACAGATGTGACCGTATCCTGGATGAATGTGTAACAGCTCCCCCCTCGTAATCTGACAAAGTTCATCTGTTGCCAACCCAGGGAGTAAAGTTCAACATGAAGGCCATCGGGTTTAACATCTCCTATGTGTTTCCTGATAAATGCTCACCCACATCTGACCATGCACCAACACTGCATCACTTACTACACAGACTCAGCTAGCTGCGTTTGTGCTTATAAGATTTCATGCATATTGTCAGTTTTACGGCAAGAGTTATTACAGGCATTTTCACACTCATTTTGTGAAGATATGGTCATAGGTTGTATCTGTCAAAACTAATGCAATCAAAGCTGGGTGCAAGGTGATATACAAAAAACAAACACAATTTTAAAAAAAATGCAAAAATAGCAAACTGATGACATAAATAACAGTCCATCCAGGGGTTTTCAGGCTTCTTGGGGGGTATATTTTCAACCTAAAAAGCTGTTTTGTTTTTTTTAAGTTTCAATGACATTGCTGGAGCATGTATACTTCGCAAAGATAATTGCAACTGTGGAAAGTGTTTTTACTAAACCATACCAAAATATCTCTTAAAACACGTACCGGTTTGAGGTTTGCAAATAAAGAAAGGCATCTTAGAGTTAGTACACAAAGGTGCAAAAAAAGTATACATTTGATCTATTATTATGGATTCACTGTAAAGAGATTGCCCATTCTCTGTGCGATATATACACCCCAGTGACATCCTGCCTTCAGTATGGATGTCATGGAGGCATAACTGGGGGACGAAGTAATCCCACCTTTGTGCCGCCATCAGAGGTAGTAACAGAGGCGTTACAGGGGCTAACTGTCTGCCATGTTTCTTAAAAAAAGGCAGGCATGGTGATGCAGATGATGTGAATCTGCAGAAAATAGTTTCCTAACCGAAAAAGCTCCAAGAAGAGTGGACGCTGATTTCTTCTTACTGACTGATGTTGAAAATCTAAAAAGTGTGGTATTTTGCCACATCATAAGAATGAGCGCTTTTAGAGTAGACTCTATTAGACAATAGAGGATGGATGCATTAGGAGAACAAACCTGTATGTAGCCCCTCATCCAATGCATCAAAAACATGTGCACTTACATGTGTACTCAAAGCTAACACAACAACAGGATTTATGATTAACAATGATCAACATTATTACACCAGACATGCCTTAATAATAATAATAATAATAATAATAATAATAATAATAATAATAATAATAATAATAGGCAACATGTGACTGTTACCACTGCTTTAAAGAGGATTGACATGTATTTGTTCAACTGGAACTAAGCTGGAAACAACCACTACATTTAACCCAGAACACTAAAAGGGTGAGTTTAAAGGGGAAATTAAGAGGCAGAAGTATCTAAGATATTTCTGCTGATAACATGTCTACACTCATGCACTTTAACTTATAGTATCACTGATTGCACATCTCCCTATGTCAATACTGGCCATTTACAACTCTGTTTTTGCACATTTACATTTAATCTTTCATATTTAAGACTAGTAATGCTAAGTTAAATCCCATTCTTAGTTTTGATATTTTACTGCTTATTTACTTTGTATTTAATATTATATTGTGCTTAGATTTACTAATATTGTGTTTTTTTTTACTAATATTGTGTGTTTGGATAACCTGCTGCTGTAACGCCACAGTTTCCCAGTTTGGGATCAATAAAGTAATTCTATTCTATGTAGGTGACATATCTGTGTGTGAAGGGTGGATTGTTTTTGTTTTACTGTTGTTTTATTTATTTACAAAGATCGTCTATTGTAAGAAACGTTAACATCGTGTTTTACTTTCATTTATAGACCCCAAGAAGAACACGTTAATGTGGTATTAATCAGTAAATATATTTGAATCTACAGGAGGTATCTGATTTTGCAGACTATGCAACCCTAGGAGGCCCATGTTGATGTTTACGAGGGATCATCCGATGGCTCGTCCAGTTTTAAATAAATGTCCACAGGCTAAGTTCTCCTGCAGTGACAACAACATGTTTGTTATTCAGCTAAACGCAACAACCACATCATGCTAACTAAAGGGTGTCCAGATTAACAGAAGCAACCTGAGAGACCCCTACCGCCACTAACACAGACGATTAGCCTGTATCACATGGCTAGGCTCGAAATCCGCTAGACGACAAGGCTAAAGCAAACAGTCTGGAGGCATTCCCCCTCTGTGAGCTTAGCTTCATAGCTACCTCGTTAGCATGCTGTGTTGACAGCAGAGGAAGAAATGTGCACACTGTAATGTCAGGTAAACAAACGTATGACACATTTAAGGTTCTGTGTACTGGTGTTTTGGCAAAGCCAGCCCATCCCTCCCCGTTAGCCAACACTAGCAACACTTTCGCAGCTGTGACCAGAGCGCCACACCAAACACAGTACAATAATCTGTCAATTTAACGTGACCTTGCTTACAAGTGAAGGCAGACGTATCATATAATGCCAGTCGATCAAATTTACATTAAGCGAGCAATAACTACTCAATCGGGGTGGATATAATCCACACAGTGGTTTTTAGCTACAATATATTAAAGGTATTTTAACTAGGGTTGCCTTCCTGCTGCACCCAGCGCAGTGTATTCTGGGGTAAAGACGACTGCGGAAAATGCAGGCAAGGCTTTTGTATAACATGACATAAAATAACAATCCGCCAGGTTTTTCTGACATTTTTCTAAGCCGAATTTAACAGTGTATCCTAGCTGTTCTGGAAATTTCAATCAAGTCGTTTTTTGTCTGTTGTCAAAGGCATCCAGCATCAAACGCCACTTAAACAGCCAGATTGTAAGGCTTGGTACGGAGCTAGCATAGAAGCTGACAGCTAGGCTAGCGGCTTACCTCTCTTGACGGCCTCGTCATACGACAGGAATCCTATCCTCGACTCTTTGGCCCCCATGCTCCCCTCATTTCATTGCGATGTAAGGAAATAATGGTTTCCCACTGAGATGATCGTAATGGGTTGTCTCCTTAAATCCGTTTATTGTGAAATAGGTTTCCTGGTGGTGTGTTTATGTGCTGAGCGGCTGAACAGCGACGCCTCCATTCTGTCACATGATCATCGGACTCTACAGGTCAGTTGATCAGAGTCTCCTGGAAACACGGCTGACGGATATTATTGTTTTATTTTAAACCCAAATAACTTGACATGTTTCCCCATCGCTTGTTGCAAATAATGGATACAGTTTGATTAATCTAGGCGCAATCATAACACAATGCCGTGTGTTCGTGTGTCAATGATTACAGGTTGTTAAACAAGAGGGAGCAGCGCCCCCTAGTGGTGACTGCTAAATAACATTACAGCCTATGGGTAGTTCACATCTACGCATAGGAAACAGCGACATCTAGCGGCGAGATAAATAAACTGGAGCAAGCGAGATGAGTTTGATAAGCCTTCTACAAATCAATGCGTGGAACAGCTCTTTTCATTTGGGCTCTCTCTCTCTCTCTCTCTCTCTCTCTCTCTATATATATATATTTTTTTGTGTGTGTATGTGTGTGTGTGTGTGTGTTTCTTCGTTAAACTTCGTTTTACCGAGATAACGACTTAATTTCTTGATATTACGAGAAACCGGCTGAAATTATCCCAGCATAATGGGAAAACGAGCACTATTATCCCGAAATAGTGAGATATATAATATTTACAGTCTCTGGATATAGCCTATAAATTCGTGAAACAACCTAAATTGACAATATCTACACATTTGTATTTATTTAGGCTATATTTAAATAGCGACAGTCCACATTAATGAACATAAAAATGTAAATATGCCAGATTTAGCCTTAGGCTAATTTCCATCTGTAGTCCCTTGGCAGGTTGGTGGTAAGCAGGTAAACAAAGTTACATCAAATCACGATGACAAGCAAAACCAATGTAACAAGTAATGACAAAACAACAACATATAGGCTACTGTACATTAGTTAACAGAGACACAGTTAATATTCACGGGTCTAGGCGAGCAATTTACTGTACCATCCTCTATTTTACTGCAAGACCACACGTGTTTTTAGATGACATTGACTACCTCGGTTTATAACTGTGTGCCGTAACACAAATTATAGTAACATCAACATATTTTTACGGCTGAATGAGTTAATCCGCGAATTGTTAGACTATATTTTCCTTTACAAATTATACCAATATAACCGCCCTAAAGGTAAATACATTTCGTGCTTATTCGTGTATCTTTGTTTTAAAAGATTTTCAAAGGGCTTAAGCAAGGTGTTGTTAAATTGTCAGATTTGAGAACAGTGTTCGGCGTGATGTGCTGTCTCAGCGTGCGTCAGCTTCCTACGTCACATAGTGAACATGAGAGCTCCCACAGCACACAGCATTACAGCGACACACTTCACTGTCTCATGGGCACCACTGGGTTTACATTAACCGAGACAGTTCAGTGGATATATAACTACAAATTCAGTGTGTTCTGGGTTGGCAGGTAAACAGGTCGGTCTGTAAACAAGGCAGATTGCATCATCTTCTCTTCCGCGATGAGGCTCTGCTGCTGCGTTAGTAAAAACTGACAGGACATGGGACAACAAGTTCTGCTTTACTGGCCAAACATTATTGGTGAGAAACACCTGATTCAATTTGAATGAACTGTCTTTTTGTTATCGGTTATAGTTTGCATTTGTATGACATGGAAACTGTGAAACCGGTGTTAGGGTTTAAAGAGTGATCTTGTTAATTAGCGACTTTTAGACAAAAAAACGTGGCCATTCATATCAACAGCAGATGCACAGTTTGTATTATGCCTATGCTGTAGTTTTAGTTTCGTACATAAATGTCATTCATAAATAATTCAAGGCAGAATAATGAGGCTGAAAGATGGTCGGCATATTTATCTTTTCTTGCATTACAGAGTGTCTTGGCTGTACACTGAATAATGTGTGTATGTTTGTGTGTGTTTGTGTCTTTCAGGTTACATTAGGATTGCTCTTGTGATTACAGCATGGGCTGCATATGAAGTACCAGCATTCTTCATCTTTTTTTATTCCATCTCCATAGCTCTTGATGGTAAAGACTTAATGCAGCCTAATGCAACTAGTTGTTTAAGTACATCTGCGGCTGCTTCCTGTAGCCTAATTCAACCATATGTTAAAAAATGTTTTTGTGTGGTCGTTTGTGTATAACGAACCTGCAAACAGCATGGATAAACCAAAACATATGCAAGATAAATATTTTCCCTTACTGTTTTAATGGCAGGCCTTGTATTCTGCATATACTGTAATAGCCTACAAGTTGTTAACATAAAATATAACATGCCTTACAGTTTTTTTTTGGGGGGGGGGTTAAAATGTCATATGACATGCTTAGAAAGTATTACAAATACTTTTTCTTATTAACTTCAATTTAACAGACTATATCTTTCACTCAAGTGTTGATGTAGTTTCAGGCCCGGTTTTATGATGGTGCAAAAGGATGCATTGAACCCTCATTTGAGTGGATGCAAAATAATAACAATATTTTTTTTATTTTTTTTAAGTAATCAAGGCTTTCAAATGACAACTGACTCAGATTGTGTTTATTACATCCATGATGTGATGGTCAGGACAGGTGCTGTGACCTGTATGTTTCGCAGGGGCCACACGCAGGACCCATAACACCTACGCTATTTTTTCATTGCTGTTGCCGCTAACTGTAGCTGCACCCCCTTTAATCTCAGATTCACCCCAACCTAGTCATTTTGTTTTGGAACCAGACCTGTGTAGTTTTGTAGCTGTTGTTACTTTTTCCATTATAAAACAGGTTTTAGCTTTTAACACTTTGCCTTTAAAGAAGCTTCCCCTTCACTACTGTTTACCTTGTTTAAACTGTGGACTTTGGAATGAATACTGATCCATTGCCGTTAGTAATCAAAGTGATATTGGACATGTCCAAAGTACATTAATCTTACACTTTGGTCTTTCTACCACAGGTCACTTTACCCTACCACAGTAGAAAAGCACAGGGGGAATCACATATATACTGGCTGAACTGCTGCTTTATTTCCAGGCTCTATGTATTTTGCATGCAGCCACATTGATGTCAAGTTTTGATCTTTTCATCACCTTTATGAACAAGAAGGTATAAGAAATGGACCTCGCTTCTTGGTTTAGTAAGCTGAAGCCCAATGTGCAAGAGCCTTAAATCTTCATATTAATATCCTGCAGAGGGCCACGCCACTGATTGCAACAAGAAACCCACTGATCCTACTTGATGAGTTGATGGTCATAATCTCTTGTTTCAAGTCTTTTTTTAATACAGCATGATGTTATTTTTTATTGTGGTCCCATCAAGACTAAAATAGCCAATAAGGCAGGTTTATGCTTTAACTGTCTGTGATTGACAAGTCACCAAATAGGAAATCAATACTGTATCAATCCTGTCTGCAAAAAAAACTGCAAAAATGGGAAATTCAAAGCTTTAAAATGTTGGTCTACAAACAGAACAATAATCAGAATTATGGGTGCATCGACAGCAATGACAATTTAAAATGGCCTCTAAACACTTCTTTGCAATAAATTAGACTGAAATCTTTCATATAACAAAAATTCATGGTGGCCTTCAAATGGACACTAGATATATTTAAGTTTTCATTGATGAAAGGCTGATAAAATACAGAAACGCAGGCGTAGCTTGTAGGAAAAGTTGAATCCAGAGTGTGGGTTTGGTTATTGATATGTGAGGATTTTTCTGTTCAGGAGTGGACGGCTGGCTGGCGAGGAGGCTGGGTCAGACGTCGAGGTTTGGGGCCTGGCTGGATGTAGTGGTAGACAATGTGGGCAGAGGGATGCTGTGGAGCCTGCTGTTCAAGGTCAGCCACTTTTTGAATTATTTTCATCATTATTTGAAAGAGGGCTACCTTTAAAACAAGCTTAGGGCTACCATCTGAAAGAACAGCAAAGTTACCAATATATATTTTTTAACCAATATGGATTTTCTTTAGTTGGTTACTTAAGATAGATACATATAAGTATATTTCAATTTTCATTTTTGTTTTTGTGACATCAAACAGCCTCTGAGCTCAAACATGTTTGTGCTGATTCTGGATTTTGACTCTGAAATGACTTGTGTCTTGTGTGTCTGATGCTACAGGTTTCCTCTCGTGCTCCTTTATTTCTTGTCTGATGTCCTGTATTTGTTGTTTTTCAGTGGGGTTGGTTGATGTCAGCAGTGGAGTGGTGTGTGTTTGTGTGTAACCACAATGCCAGAGGAGATCACTGGAAGAACAGCTTTAGCAGCAGCCCTCGACTCATACGGGCCATCATGGACAACGGTAACAAATCTGTCACTGTTCATTAAAGTGATGCTGCTAACTCACAGATTGTATGACTTAATTTGTGTGTGTGCTGCTGTCAGGGTTTCGGACCCCTCTCGGCCTGTGGGTGGTGAGTGGTCTGCACTGTCTCCCTCTCTGGCTGTACGGGTCTCAGAAAGGTTTACTCTCCCACTGGATGTACCTGCCGCCCTCGATACAGAATCTGGTGACCATGCTGCTGGCTGCAGGACGCCTGCTGGCTCTCTCAGCAGAGGTAGATATAACCTGTGACACCCCTGAACATCAGAGGGGTAAAGCACAAAGCGAGTTCAACATACCCAGAGAGAGCCTGAAGTAGCAGGTAGAGACAACAGGTATTGCAGCTGGTTATTTACTGTCCATGTTTGACTCTTTCTGCTTCAGGCTCTGAGCATGCTCACATAAAAGGGCGTGTTTTAGTGCAACATTTGGCTCCGTAACTCTGAACATTTCCTGGTACAGATCATGTCACGAGTTTAAAGTCAGTTACCGTGGTGATGGTGAGATATCAAGATTAAAAGAGAGCCAGCTTTTCTGACATGGAAAACTCTGACCTTATGCCTGACAGAGGCTCGCTTCGTTGTTTAACCCCCCAGGTTGACAAAATGAAACCGTGCTTTTCATATTTAATGTTTGATTTGGTCGTGGAAAGACTTAATTCTCACTTTTTTCTCTCTAGATATGGTGTATAAGGACACACATTGAATACTTAACCAGTGAGGAAACAGAAGACAAGAAGAGCTGAAGGTCGATCAGTAGTCATCTTCTGTTCTCTCCTCTTTCTCTCAGTTTTTAGGACATTCAGATGAAAGTATGGGGCTGCTCTACAGGTACAAGTTGATATTATCTGACATAATCTTGACCTCTCACTTCATGTTCGTTCTTCAGCTAAACAAAGAATTTATCTTGTGAACTTCATTGATTTTGTTTCGAGCTGCTGAGATATGAGATGGCATGTGGAACATGTGGAAAAGCAGAATTTTCTATCAGGTTGAACCTTCTAAGGGATTAAAGATATTATTATTATTATTTTTTTTTAAAGGAAATCAACAGAAGGAACTGATAATTCTTCAACCTCAGCGCACTGTAAAAGTAGGAGAGTTTATGATTAGCACGACTCTGGTGATACGATCTAATCACAATACAGGTTTACTATTCAGTATGATTTGAATCTATAAGAAAGGCAATATAATGTTCTTAAGACTAGTGCTGCTGGTGTTTGCACAAGCTCTATGCACTTATTTGTTCTGTCTCAGCTTACATTAAGTTGGAGGTTGGAAAAGTCAAATGTTTGGTGGCCGGGAGGTGTCAAACTAATTACATATCCAAAATGCTTTGCGGAAGAGAACTACCAAACATTGTTTGATTTACTTTCACAGTTTCTTCCATGTGTCCGTCAGGTAAAACGGTCCATTAGAAACACTGCCGATAGTCGGCCCATTTAAACTTTTGTTGTGGCTTCTGTATTTGTTTTATAGCTTCTGCATATGTGTTGTTGTTTTTCCATTAATGCAGTTGTGTTTGTCTTGCTTTTGCAAAAGGTTTGGGATCTTTCATTTGTCTGACACCTCCCGGCCGTAGTAAAAAAAGATGAAGATAGTTAACAACACTTCCATCTTTTGGCCGGGGGGTTTAAACACAACACAAAAAGAATCAGCAGAAATATTTTTTTTATATATATATATATATATATATATATATATATATATATATATATATATATATATATATATATTATATAATATATAATAAAATAATCTAATGGACTACACAAGTGTATCAATGGTCACGTGTCCCCGTAGTGTAAGGACTGTCAAAATGCTGGATAGAGGTCTGAACATTACTGCACTAAACTATGTTCTGTGGGTGATAAGAATGATTGTGATGGCTGGGATTTTCTTTAAAAAATGACTCAAGGAGCCAAAGGGAGATGCTTATCGTTCACATCAATTAAACTCTAATAAGGGATTCAGTTTTGTTTAAAACTGAGCAGCAAAGTTATATTCATGTTTAATCTGAAACCTGCACAGTTTTTGCAAAACGCACCAACAAAGTCCAGATGTTATTATAATCTAATGAGCATTACTACTAAACACAAAAGTGATTTAGTAACATTTATATTTAATGTTGTTTAAATGTAGGGACTTGAAAAAAACCTGAGTGGATTTGGTTAAATAAAAAGTTTGTTTTTTTACCGATATGTTTTTTTTACTGATTTGTTTTAAAGCTGTGGCTTTACAGTTTAAGTTTTTGCTTTTGAGAATGTTTGTAAAGTCAACTGTGAAAAGGATAAAAGCTGTTTTTCACACATTGCTAAAGGTTTTATTTTCAATAAATATATAAAGGAAATCATTTTCTTTTTCGCTTTCTTAGAATATTAAGAACGATCTTATTTGCAGCTTAGAGCTCCAGTGAGGATTTTTAAACTGGTAATGAAACAGATTGAAGTTTATACTGATGCCTCTTTATGACCTTCTATAGTAAACTGGACCATCAGGGAGAAGGTTAAAACTGTCTATAAATTACATTTTAATACCTGAATTTAAAGCGACGGGGTAGGTGTCAGACAAAGTGATTAACTCCCCGCTGACAAACATTTGACAAGGCAAAGATTCACTATACGATATATAACATACTCATCTTATTCATGATAAGACAGCAGGATGAGATTTTCCAGTAAAAATGACTACTTGTTGCACATGTACAGGACAAAGTCATCAAAGAGATACCACTTTGTCCACAAGGGGCGCCAAAATCAAAACCACCAGTAAGTTCCTCACAGGCGCTTTAAGGACAATAAAGACATTACTTCATGAGGGTACGACTTGCTTTGCTTTTGGTCTGAACACAGCTTGAATTACTTTAAAATCTGAGAACAGCAGATTTTTTTTTGCCAATGCAATGCAAGGTAAGTATTCAGAATTTTTTCAAAAAAGCATTATCTATGCCTGGGTAGGTTATAGAAGCCCTAAGAAGACATGCCTCAATTAATTTAATCTAATCTAGTTTTCATGTGATGAGTTTATTTCAGCCGTTTTCTCACAATCTTGAATAATCTACTTGTTGTCACTAACACCAGCGTTGTTTCCCAAATAACAAGATAAAAAAGTTGAGATCTCAAGTGGTGAAATACAATGGGATGTATGTCCATTACAGGCTTCCATAACGTACAGGTGGAAACATGAGGGCTGGTTTTTGAAACCGCCTACTACATACTTACATACCATTGAACATAGTATGTAGTATACTTCATACTACATGCTTTGTTTGACAGTAATATGTAGTATGACTGCTGGTTGGTGGTTATTTTGTAGTATGCCTAAGCTGACAACAGTCCAGCTGACAGCACACACCACAGTGACTATCAACTTACAGTAATAAAAAAATAGGTGGTTTCTAAAGCAGACAATTTCTTCAGTTGAGCGTTAAGTGTTGTTTTAATACTTTTCTGATCAAGAAATAAGAGGCAGGCGTTCAGCTCAGACTCATGCTCCACGTGTATCAGTCATACTTACTATCAGGTGAGTTTTATTTCTTAATAATAATGATCAATCCTAAATGTCAGTGTTCCCCCCCCAATCCTCAGGACTTCAGTAATCTGCAGAATGTGGGGATAGTTTTCCCTCAGATCTTACAAATGGTTGTTTCAGGTTTCAGGCTCTTAGTAAGTAAACAAAATAAACAAACACAAGGTGCAAACACAAGAGAGAAAAACATGTGTCGTCTGTGATCAATGATATAAGTTTTAATGTTTTTGCAGCTAACAGTGAAGCAGTAACAGGACAACAGTGAAAACATCCCCTCATCACGCTTTGTTTCAATCATCTTGAACTCTCTGAGAGTCAAAACAGGGCACAGCTTTATTGAACATGTTTGTTCTTCTGTCCATCTCTCCCCAGCAAGCCCTCAACCGTGGATCCTCCGACCCCTCCTGCAGCGTTTTCCCTTTCAGATACCAGACGATCAGAAAGACGACCTGTTGGTTTGATCAGCCTTTGTGTCTTACATTCCTTCAGTCAGCTGGTTTCTCAGGGTTATTGTTAAAAGGGAAAAAATAAAAACACCCAATAATACTTCAACACGGTTTAAAAAAAGCACATTTTCGGATCGAAATGACTAAGAAGAAGAACTGGAATCATTTTGGAATTCCTCAGTTTGTTTGCTCCATCAGCCTTGAAATAGGCCTTAATGACTGCAATGTAATACTTTTGGGCTAATGTAATCATACAAAATATGCCATGTAAAAGTATTTTTTCTTTTTGCTACTGACAGCCTCCGACTGTTATTCCAAGTTTCCCTACAGAGAAGGACCCTTCTGTCTCAGGCTGAGATGCTTTTTTTAAAAAACATCCACTACAACGCTCTTCTCAAAGCCTCCACAGTCCATCGACCAAAACGTCATTTTTACCTCCCAGAACATAGGAGTCATTTGTATACCTTTTTCTTTGTTTTTTGTTTTTTTTAAGTCATTGTGCCTTTACACAATTATTGTGTTGAAATCTAATTCATCAATTTAAAACACCAAAGTCACACAACAGCACAAACCAACCAATCCAGACAGCTGTTGATCAAACGATCCGGTGTCAAGCAGGGTAAAATGACTGTTTTTGTCAGTGGAGTCTGGTGACTTTGAAGAGAGCAGCAGTTTACAGGGGGGGGGGGGGGAACAAAAAGCTCCATCTCTATCTCACTTGGAATAAAAATCTGAAACTTTGAAGGATTACAGCCATTACAGCCCGCTCCATTTGTTTTTGTAGTTTAGAAAGCATACGCTGAAGGAAAAACCTTTCTAAAATATGCACTGCAGAAGGAGCAGAATGTACTTGCCATTTGCTCCAAAACAGTAGCCCTAATAGATCAGAGTGCAGTGCAACAGGTCGGCACAAGACCCGAGAGCTGAATTCATTGTAGGAGCATCCAAGGGTAGATTTAATTTCTGCAATTGTTGTAGGACAGGACGTTCTGTGTCTGCTGTTCCTAAAGGACATTCATTTCCCCGACTGCCAAGGAAAAATGTTCTGTTTGTGTGGAGGATGGGAGGGTGCGCCTGTTGGGCTAAGGCTGGACCTCCTCAGCTAGAGCCACTCACATCACTGCTAGAGAGGGAGACCTCCCGACAGCACTGAAGCAACAGCAAGGCAAAGCTCGTTTTCCTCATTCACTTTAAATCAACAGAAAAAAAACAAACAAAAAAACAGCGGGGTGCTTCTGGAAGGCATCAGGTTTTCAGAAATGTTGCAGGAGTAATGCCTAAACCTGTTTTTGGAGCTGGACCTGTTTTTCATGTTTTCCATCAGAGCATAAATCTCAGCAGTTGTTCCTCTGTAGAGCTGCACACGTCACACTCATGTCTTAATGAAAGGATTCCTTCTGCACAACTCTAAAGGGCCAGTTCACCTAAACTCTATAAAACAGTTTAAAAAAAAAAAAAAACAACCTCTAACGATATGAAGCCATGCAGACGGTTCAGGTTTAACCATGGCCACCTTCTACATTTCTTCACTTTTCAGAATACAATGAAAACATAAATTGAATTCCAAATATTTCAAAATGACAACAGAGCCTTACAGCCATCTGCTACTTAAGTTTTCCTGGGAACATTTAAATTACCTTTAACTTTCTGCACGGCTGAAAAGTCTGACACAAACTGCATCATGCATCTAAATGCATACAGCATGATTTAACCTCGGCTCATCGTTGGCCATAAAAAAATCCTCCAATGGAGCTCGATTTCTGCAGATGAACAGTTAATGAGTGTATGTACTAATAGGTTGTATGTGTTGATGTGTATCCATTAGTGTTGTTATATTATCAATAATAACATTCATCTGATATTTCAAATAAAACAAAGTTTCTACTTGGACTCTTTGGCAAAATATACATGCATGTACCTTATAATGTTATATTGGAATCTATTGGTTAGTTGATTTATTTAAAGTCAAAAGTTGAATCTTTCCACTGTAAAGCACACTTTTTTGTTTTTGTTAACGATTACCTCTAAACTGTTACTTTTGTCAAACTTAGAAATTCTCAGTTGGTTTGGTTATAGAAAGTTAGGTTGTCAACATGTTCGATACTTTTTGATATTACTGGTTTAAAAAAAAAAAACTACAATCTCTGTTATTTGTATGACAGATCGTATCAAAAAGTACCGAAGCTTTATAAAAAAAAGGTCAGACCTTGAGTCATATTTTCAAACAATAGCTGCTGCGAGTTAATCAGAGATTCACAAACACACGGGCAGCTAGTCAGGAAATAAAACAGGCACCGGTGTGTGTTTTCCCGAGTATCATGTAATTAGTGTGTTCTGATCCTTCAAATTACCGTCATGTAGAGACCAGCAGCAGACTGCCAAAGAGCTGGCATGACATCATCTTCAAGGACAAAGTGAGTGGTAACATTTCAAAAAGACTTGTGACGTTTTCATCATGATGTCATACATGCAGCTCTGTAAGCAAACAACTGATGTGATTTTGCAAAGAAACATTCAAGTCTGATGGAGCACGTGGAAAAAAAAACACAGTCCAGAAACTAAAAAAAGACAAATCTGGATTGTTACTTTGATGGGACATCTGAGCGGAAAAGGCAAGATGCACATGTTTGACAGGCCAGTAACACATGCATTCATACGCACTCACACACACAAATATACAATATTGGTCCCCATTGTAGTGCCCTTAAGGGTTGAATAGTTCATTAGCACTTAGATGTATGGGTCCACCTACAGACAGAGAACTGCAGGCTGGTGTAAGGCTGATAATCATCAGTGGAGCACTCAGGCACCGAGAGCTCGATCTGTGTTTACTGACACACGCTCACACATGAAAGCACTCTTTCAACGGGAATTGTTGATTTTTTAAAAAAAAAGAGCCTGGACTCTATTTTCACACTTTGTGGGGTCTTAAAGATGAAAAGAAGATTCAGATTTTGTTCCAGAGCCGGTTGTTCAAAAAGTTATCTCCTCACATTTAATCTATCGGATTGGATCTAATCATGGATCAGGTTGTTCAAAAGAAAACAACATCAGGTAATCCAATCCTGATGAACATCCAGATAAACCCTCCAGTTTGAGTAGATCAAAACTTGAGATCACTTTGATCCAACAATCAGGATTATCCTGACCCCAGTAGAGGTCTGGATTCAGACCAGATTACAGGGAAAATGTAAGAAAAATGATAAATTAGGTCAAACAATCCAACATTTTAACAGTGTAGTCAATGTTTTTAAAAACACAATGCTGTTTGTCTTTAGTGACAAAGTAGATGAAGGTACACGAGGACTGTAAAAAAAAAAATGATTTCACTTAATATCATAAAAATCAAACATTCAAGATTATTTCAAAGTAGATGTGAGGATCTTTCAGTTTCTGTGGATTATGGCGCCCCCTGTGGACAAAATAAGTAGTGTGAAGTACCCTTTAAATGACTGGGTAATCGGGTTTCGGTAATCCTTATAAATCTGGATCTGGATCTCCAACCCAGTTTCTCCTTGAAAATCTGGGATTGAAGTGATCTAGATTATTTGATCTTTGGTAGAAAAATCAGGATCTTTTTCATCTTTTGAACAACCAGGCTTAGGAGAATTGTTCAGAAGGTTCACAAGCTATAATGGTAGCAATGTAATCCCTGCAGGCAAAAGCACCAGACCAAAGGAAGTCAACTAAAAGTTCCTGTTGTTGCCACTGACAGTCTCTGATTGTTGCGTGTGCAAGCCTTAATGCTCAAGTCAGATTTTTATGGCTCAGATTTGATTTTTGTTTGGCTGTCAGATTACTTTTTAAATGGCGGCAACAATCAGATTCAGGTCACTCTTGGCTGCAGTGTGAACGCAGCTGAAGTGTCAGGCTACATCACAGAAAGGATCCTTACAGAGACAGACCTTCTTGTTTAGGAGTACGCTGCTTTTTTTAAAACCAGGAACTGATGTTTTACTGTCACTTTCAGAGCTTGCAGAATCCACTGACAAAATCAGAAATGTAACCTCTCGAGACACAGAAGTAGCTTTTCCACCGCTACGTAGTTAATGTTTCACTATGATGTCTTGATGAGTTAAATCAGATTCAACACTATAGTTGTTGTATCACAAATAACCAATAGAGGGAGCCGTAGAGCAGCTACAGCTGTGATCTTTGGGGTAAACTTGCTGGATTTGTCAATGGAGTCTGGTGACTTTTAAAAGAACGCAAACATTTGTTCTGTTTCTTAAAAAAAAGCCTCTCCTCTGAACAAAAATGTATCAATGTAAGAATCCCTCCTGTAAAGAATAGGAGCCTTTCAGTGGCAATAACCAGCACTTTCATTGGATTAACTATAAGAACATGCAGCTTTCCCTGAGAGATTACGTTGCAGCCATCACAGCCTGCATCAAATCTTCAATCTCCAAACTTTTAGTACCCATTAAGACCCTATAACATATAACAACAAGGCCCAGGTGTACACCAGAATTCCCCTTAAAGATGAAAATAATCAAAGCCTGGGCCTCTAAGCGTCTGCACATGTAGCATCTTCCTCTCCTCGCTCACGTCCTTCGTTTTACCGTCAGAGTGTGGAGCTGTGTTGAAAGCATTCATGGCTCACTCAGTAAGAAACGCAGAAACAAAAAGGGCTACATAACATACACTTTTGCATATAAATTATTGGCATTTTAATTGTTCTAGATCAGTACTACGCTGGAAAACGAGATCAAATCAAATGTAATGTGGTAATTGTGTAACAATAAACCCACTGGTTTAACACATTCCTCTGGTTGTAATCTCTCCAACGAGAAGGATTCTGAGGGTGCACTTCCTTTTCAAAGAGAGAGAAAAAAGAAGCCTTCAATCAAAACGCAAGAGTACAATCTGCTCCAATATTCCACAAGTGTCAAAAAAAACATCGGACATTTTACATCTCTGTTCCTCGTAGTTATGATGGATTGCGGGTGGAGACATATTTCGCAGATGTGTTAGTCAGGGCCAAGATACTGTTGTGTACGTAGCCCTGGAGTCTCATGGCATTCAGAGCTACACGGTTCAAATATAAAAAGCAAAAAAAAAAAAAAGAAGAAGGTCCTCCCATTCCAAACGGAAAGAAAAAGGCGAGCGAGACAAGAGGGGAGGTCATTGGTCATCCTTACAGGACGTTAAGAGGTTTCTTTTTTTTTTTTAACCCTGCCCCCTCAGTCATGTTTTCCTCTTTTCTCTTGGAGAAATGCATCATCAGTCTGCTCTGTGGGGTGAAGCTGCGTCCAGGCTTCAGTACCGTTTGCAGTAACCATCTCCGTGGTTCGTGTGGGTGTCAATGAGGTTTGATAACGGTGTCTTCTCTACTTTTTAAATCCATGACTAAATCTGTGTGTGTGTGTGTGTGTGTGTGTGTGTGTGTGTGTGTGTGTGTGTGTGTGTGTGTGTGTGTGTGTGTGTGTGTACTGGCAGTTGACTTGCCGGTGATGCTTGAATTTGTTGTGTTGCTAATTTATTGTGTTCAACGGGAGCATCACATCTGGGCTCGTTTCTGTCCTCACCAGGCGAAAGCCCAAGCGTCTTTTTTTTTTTTTCATCCTCTCTTCCCTCATCGAATTAGCCGAGGCAAGGGCGGGTTGGGCCCATACTCTGGGCCAATAGGAAAGCTTGTACCACTTCCTGGGTCTGCTGCGGCGTAGTGTTGACGTCCTCCAGGGCGTCCGCCACTGCAAACTGCCGGTCCCTCAGCCGGTTCCAGTTGGAAAGTACGTTGTGGTATTCAAACACCTTCTCGTAGTTCCCCACTGAGTTGTAGAGTTTGATGAGGCCTCGGTAGTCGTATTCCAGTCCGCTGTAACCCTCCCCGAACAGCTTCTTACCTAAACAGAGTAAGGAAACATCACTTCCTGTTTTTGTAATCATTCCAGAGCAGGGTTGTCATGATACCAGAAGTTTAAACTTTGATGAAATACTGGTAAAAATCAAACGATATCAATACTGGTTTCAATATTGCGGCAACAAAAAATGAACTTCTTGGCACACAAAGTGGGTGATATTTGTTTTTTAAATAACCAGCCTGCACAAAGTCACTGAACTCAACATATGTAATACTGTAAACTGTGCAGAAGAGTTAAGTAGGATTTACCTCCAATAATATATAAACCAAAAATAAATCATCCCTTTTCAATAAGTACTCATTATCTAGAATAACTGTGTTTTCATCTGCAGGGAGTACGGTCTTATATGTTTTAGTTTTCTTCTGTTTGGGACATTTTGAGGGCGTCAGTCATCAAGCTGTGATGTGAAGCCTGTCTCCCTCCTCTGCTTCCTGTCCATTTGTAAAAGACACCAATGTAACTTCAGCATCTTTATGATACTGAAGTTACATTTGAATACATAAAAAGGTATTGGCTGACCACACCATGCACAAGTAATCCCCCCCCGCCCCCGCCCACTTCTCCCCTGTGTCTGACCGATAGCGATGGAGCGCAGGTAGAGTCTCTCTGCGTCGTCGTACTGGTTCATATCGTAGTTGTAGAGGGAGGCCAGGTGACCCACAGACAGAGCCACCTCGTAGTCCTCATGACCCAGGAGCTGCTCCTTGATCTGGATGGCTTTGATGTGCATCTCCTCTGCCTCCTGACGCACACAAATAGAGAGATACGGGTCAAACACTAGCTAAAATGATTGAAATGAAGTGGATATCTTCTAAATAGTATCGTCTCTTAGCACAAAAGTCGTTGTTTTGTTACTGTTAGTCTAATTACAGGGAAACACAAAAAGGGAAATTATACTGTATAGACTCAGTTTGTCTGTTTTTATACAAATCAGGCTGCTGAGATTTCTAACAAAATAAGAAAATCTGATGTTTGATATATCAAATTTAAAGAACTCTAAAAACATATCGTCAACACCTACCTTGAACTTCCTCATGGACTGGTAGAGTCGTCCGAGGTTGCCGTAGTGTTTTGCCGTCTGGACGTTGAACTCTCCAAAAGCCTTCTTAGCGAGCTGCAGCGAGGAGAGGTGGAGGTCATGAGCCTCCTGCAGCAGGCGCTCTTCTGTCTCCTTATTGTGGCAGTCGATGGCGATTTCCTCGAGGATCAAAGCTGAGCCAATGAAATGGAAGCAAAAGTTAAATGCTTTAAGTCACATCCGTCTCTGATGTATAAACATCACTTCACGGGGAAAGAAGTCACATCCCAATCTGAGATAACTCTTCAGAAAACCAAACTTGCAGAAGCAGACAACAACTCCTGGATTCTGCAAGATAAAATAACCTTTATCACCTACAGAGTCTGGTGGTTTAAAAACAGATATTTAATGGCTGTTTCTCGTCTTTAAAAAACTGCTCACAAATGAATCAAAATGTCTATCACTGTAGGGATCCCCTGTGCAATGTTATCAAACACTCCTAATAGCTATTTGAGTCTGTAAGAACAAGAGGATGTACCGTGAGGGGAAATTCTGTTTTACACTGTTTTGTTATTGAGAGCTGGTGAGTTTGTTTGTTAATAAACAAACAAACAAACTCCCCTCTGTGACCTTCACATCTTCACACGGTGGGCAGCAGCACTACATCTCAAGCATATTTCAACAAGTTTACCTTTGACTCTCTTGGAGGAAGCCAGCAGCAGGTGATCCTCAGGCAGAATGTGAGTGATGATGTCTATGGCACGTTCTGCATGGAATCTGGGGGGAGGGGGGAACACAGCAGCTGAACCCAACATGTAGTCCAACTCAGACTTAGAAAGGAACTGGATTTAATACAGGATAAACACGTCCAAGACAGGCAACATGTTTCCATTAAAGATTGTTGTTGTGAGGCTCAGATCAGGATAACAGAGCACTACCAGGCCCCTTATAAACACAACACTTCCAAAGGGTTTTAGTGCTGGGCATTGGAAATATAAAAATATGGATATAGTTATGACTATATATTCACATAAAAGAAACTTTCAAGTTCAGGTTTGAGCATATTTTCTTCACGTCAGCTTTAACGCTGCACGTATTCAGCTTCATTCTTTACATTTCAATCTTGTTTATATCATTAATTTTTTGATCTTTTGTCATTTTGGTTATATTCTCTTCATTTTCACTTTATATCCGTCATTGCCATCAAAACAAATTATATCGATTTTGCCTTTGTTGTTCTTAGCTCCACTTGATTCTGACTTTTTGCTCCATATTTTACTCTGGATATTTTAACTTTGAAAATATTTTCTCGACATTTCTACATAATTGTTATAATTTTTTAACTTTATTCTTGACTTTTTTTCTCAACATTTCTGCTTCAATGTTCAGCTTTATTGTTTTAATATTTCAGATTTAAACTACATTTTGCCTTCCTTGTCACACTACTATTTAAAAATGTAACATTTGTTAAAAAAAAGACTTCTTTGTCACCATATTGCCGTTTCTTTGCACTTCACCTTTATTGTCAGCAGTTCGATTTTATTCTTGACATTCTGACTTTATTCTCAACATAGAGTGTATCCTCAACATTAAGACTGTTGTGATCATGAGGACTTTATTCTCAAAATGTTCACTTATTTACTGACATTAACACCTGATTGTCAGAAGTGAAGGATAAAAAAACGTCCTTCTCTTTTATGTTTCCTGATCCTTGGCCCTGATTGTCAACATATTCGGTTAAATCACAGAAACATCTTTCCCTCAGCTCCTTTTCCTCGTCTATCAGTGGCTGAAAGGTCAATACTTGTTATGGAAAAGCACACGACGACAGCCTAGAGCCACAGAACATAACAGACAGTACAGAGAGTCCCAGTCATGTGCTTAATGTCTAATGCAATTAGCTGCTGGTCTCAGAATAGTTCAGAGATGGGAAGATTCATTGTACTCACAGAGCGTTGTCAAATTTCCCAGAGCTGTACTGGTGCACGTACGAGGAGTAGGCCAGGTCTTCATGGGCGGTGGCAACGTGGATGTTCTTTCCCCCAAACACAGACTGTCGGATGTCCAGGGCTGTCTGAAATGTATACAGAAAAACAAAATAAGATATGACTAATAACCCACACTGGCTTTAAATTTAAACACAACGCTCTCTAATCGCTCTACGTACCTGGTAAATAGCGACTGATTGGCATATGTTGTCTACATTTAATAAGTAAAATCCATAATCTAGCAGCGTGTCTGAGTACTTGGGATGCTTGTGTCCAAAATGCTCTCTGTAAGACACAAAACACTGAATCAAAATTCACGAGAACAAAAAGTGATAAGAATAACGTTGAGTCCCCGTACAGACGCAGCAGGTTACCTCGCTAGAAACACTGCATGTTTGATCAGCTGCTCTGCTTTTCTGAACTCTCTCTTCACCACGCAGGCCTGCAGAGGACACACGAGTCACACATATTTAGTCAAAGGATTTCCTTTAAGCTGAGCTACTCCACAGATACATTTAGGTACTTTTAAAAAATTAATATATTTTTGATCATATCGACCTTTGAGGCTTGTCGGAGGACGTCAACAACGACTTTGACAGGCAGCCCGGGAGTGATTTCCTTCATAGCCGCTATACACCACCTGTACGCCTGGAAAACAGAGGAAGAAAGACAAACTCAATCCAAGTCTTTACTGCTGGTTAACACAGTGTAAATAATAACAATATAACTATTTAAATTTTTATTTTGGGGTGTTTTGTGACTTTAATGGAGAGATAGGACATTGGATAGAGTTGGAAATCAGGGAGAGAGAGAGAGTGGGGAATGACATGCGGGAAAGGAGCCACAGGCTGGATTCAAACCGGGGCCACCTGCTTGGAGGACTACAGCCTCCATACATGGAGCGTGCGCACTATAACTATTTAAAAATGGATCTGTCACAGCATAATGTTTGTATAATCATGTTTACCTTTATCTATTACAGCTTTACTTTTAGATTGAGAATTCATTTTTTTTTGCATCTGAAAGCTAAGGCTGCATCTTGTTTCACCTCTTTGCATGTTGGTTCATGATGAGAATAAATAACTGTTAAGTTTCATTTTAGTTTTTAAAAGAAGTAAAGACAGCAGCATGGGGCTGTAAGAGATTATGTATTTTGCAGAGTGTGGCTAATGTTAGCTTTGCTTGCACCACCATCCTTCGCTCCTTGCAGGATAATGTCCACATGCTGAATGTGGTTACACATTGATCGCTGGAGAGTTTATAGGCCAGTTTATTCTAATTCTCATCTATCATAATGACTCATTAACTTGCAAAACATTTTAGCATATTTTTTTATATATATTCCAGGGCGAAGAAATCTTTTAAAAGAGCCAGAAAAGAAAACAATAAACAAAACATAAAAAACAATGTACGCACTGATGGACTCTTTCCGTTGCATAGTAACAACTAAGGGTTAAAACTAAAAGCACAACCCTGTTTTGCTACATAAGAAATGTAAGATAAATATCTCAGTCATTGCTGATGATCAGCTGAACGTACCTCATCGTAGTGGCTTTTGGCGAAGAGCAAGGCACAGAGCTCGCCGTACAGCGCTGCCTTGTTGGCCTGGTGGCCATGTTTGGCGAGTTTGTCCATGTAAGACTGAGCGAGCTTGAAGGTCTCCTCCCCCAGGTGGTACTTACAGTTTCCATTGCGGACATGAAGCAGCCTGTGGAGACAAGAGGGGCGTCTATTTTTTTAATTATTTTTTTGCATTGATCATAGTCACATCTCCAGGGACCAATCCACTGTTTCCCAGCACACAACTATGGCCTTGGACTCATCCAAACCGCTTCACACTTGGCCGCAAACCACCCCAATATCATCTAACTAGTGCGCACAAGATAAATGTAAATGTATACAGTAGGGGTGCAAACGAGTTCATTAAATAATAATCGGTTACAAAAAAAATGTAATCGATAATCGTTTTGTAGTCCACATTTTTGGAAATGTTTCTTGTTGCATTGTGGGTTCTAGGATAGGCCTAATTCAAAACAGAAAAAAAGGAGCACGAGCACAAAAAGAAAATAGATGACAAACAAAGCGCTGATAAAGGCTCTGTGCTGAATACGCTGCTACCTAACAAAAATACCCCCCTATGAATTCACAATGTACAAAAAGTCCCAAACAAACAAAATATGCAATATGATCTACGAAAGTTCAGTTCAAATTGTCTTTTTAGTCCACAGAAAAAGAAAGACTTTCACTTTGCGATTACAGCTTTACCCCGCCAAACCAAAGACGTTTGATCATCCAGGACAGAGCAGCATAACTAGATGTTTTCCTATATTTTAGAATTTTAGATGATTATTTTAAAATCTTTTAATAACTACAACACGGAACGAGCATATAGGGAGACAGAGCTCATAGCGGATGGACGAGCGAGATTGAGCGAGTGTGTCATTACGCACAGAGGAGAAAGATGAAACAGACACTGAAATCGTTCACATGTTCTATTGTAACTTCATTTACCAGAGTAAAGTGTGCTCTACACTGCAGACTGGAGTCTTTGTTAACACAGTGTTGCGGTCAAAACAGCTTCAACGTGCGATGAGTGCGCATTGATGTCTGCACGTCCGCTCGCCACACTCACTGCTCTTAATTATAATAAAGTGTTAAAACAGTCATAAGATGTGTGAACTTTTATTGGAGGTTTGCGGTCTGTTGAAGTAAGAAATGTCATATTTGAATGTTAATACAATGGCCTCTTACTAACAATTATTAAAATCCCGAAGATTCAAATTAATCAATAAATACAGTCGGCATCGCGTCATAGTTGGGGGCGGGGCCTCCCGTGGGGGAAAAGAATCACAGAAAAAAAAAGAACTACAAAACAATTACTCAAGTACTCGCTTTAACAATGGGAAGAGTAATCGATTAGAGAAAATTTTGCATTTCTGCACCCCTAGTATACAGTATTTTTTACTTTTTGGGACTTTAGGTACAAGGAGCTTTTAAAAGTAGTTCCTGATCCATCAAACCACAGATATATCATATTTAAAGACTGACCTGACACAGCACTCCACAGCTCTGAAGCAGTGAAGGACCTCACTGTGGAGCGTGCACAGCTGCAGGCACGACAAAAAAACTTTCTCTGCATCTCCATACCAGCCTGCATCAGACAGGAAGCCACCTAGAATGAAAAGACATCAGATTACTCAAACTGTCACCACGTCAGAGGATGTTACTCATGAAACCTTAGCATAAATGATGTTTTTTAAACTTATCAACACATGCTCTGCTTAAAACTAACCTCATTGTGCACATGTGTGGGTGTACCACAGTTTAATCACACATGAACTTGTAAAGGGAAGAGGACATTATCTCTTAAATACATCAATAGTAGTAACAAATGTTTTAAATAAGATTAAATTGGACAGATTTAAATTGATAAAAAAATAAATGTGGCTACTGGCAATAAGCAGACGTCTCTCTGATCTCTGATATATCTTTCCTATCAGCTGAAGCTATGATAACATCACTGGGATGAATGAATGGCCTCTTCTTGTAATCTCACTGTTTCTCTGTTCCCGCTCACCACTTACCCAGCACAAAGCCAAACTGGATGGCCTTCTCTTTGACGTGGGCATCTGACTCTGCAATGTAGGAGCAGCGGCGGCTGAAGGAGTTAGCCAGGACTGAGGCCACTTTCACACCGTGGTCCATCAGGGCCTGAAAGCAGTGGTGCAGAAGGTGTCTGCAGAGAGGAGAGGAAAACAGGGGAGGACCATGTGAGACTTTGGCAGTCCAAACTTTTCTGATAACCTTAGTTTAAAGAGACAATTTATGGGTCAATGAGGATGGTGTGGGGTTTCAGGCCCACTTTCAGTCCCATTATTTTCTCACCTTTTGTCTGAAGCTCGCAGCACTTTAGCAAACACCTCCAGTTCACAGAACTCTCCTCCCAGCTGGCAGAGCCGGCCCTGCTGGTAAAGCTGAAAGACACAAAGAGACAGAGGGACGAGGTGAGGACGGACACTCACTGGTGATGCTCTCTGCAGAAGCGTACGTGATTATATCTGAAACTACAATGGTTGAGCGTCTGTCTTTTTTTCAATTATCTTAAAGAGCCCATATTATGCCGTTTTTGGGGTTCGTATATTTAATCTATGTTCCTACTTTTGTACATTCACAATAGATAAAGTTCTAAAAAAAGTGTCTGTTTTCATGTACTGCTCCGTCAGCTACACTCTGTTGAGCCCACACTGTTAGACCCCACATGGGCCAAGTCTGCTCTGATTGGTCTGCCGATCTGCTCTGTTATTATTGGTCAGTTGCTCAGCACGCGTCTCGGAAATTTCAACATGAGCTGCAGGTCTTGCCACAACAAGCCAATGGGCTTAGATCAGTGATCTCACACTGACAATGACGACACACTGACAAATTTTTATCGAGGGGTTCTAGAACCGAGCGTTACATGCAGCTAATGCTACAGCTAACAGGAGGACGTAGGAGAAGCCGCGTTTCCGCGGACTTTGAATTTTTGCACATAGATGTGCCTAAACATGCACAGGACACTTGGAAAACACACTAAAGAGCATATACAACCAGAAAAAGCATAATATGGGACCTTTAAATTCTATTGTATTTGTGTTATGGGAGACACTTTAAATTGTTGCCTGTTGTTTAGTTGAAACAAAAATTCTGCTGATGTCTAGCCTGTCATCAAAATGCACTCAACTGGAAGCTGTTATATTCAGTGGCTCTCAATGGTGGGGTCTATTGGAGGGGGGGGGGGGGATTGTTGGTCTCAGCTGTGTCTTTTTATCTGCAGTCATCTGTTGAAATGCCATAAAATGTACAAGACCCCTAATATCCTGTATACCAACATGAGACTCATGTTTTACAGGTAAGAAGCATGTTTATTGGAGTTTTCCAAAAGTACCAGCAGTTGGAGATTTTACCAGACCACATTGATGCATGTTTCAGGTCCTATCACTATTGTTTTGAGCTAAACTAGTTTACTATATATTATTTAAAGAATTTCAATCAGAGAAAGAAGCCCAGCAACAACTGTAGGAAGCTTGGCTAGCAGTCTGAAAAGCATGTGAAAGAGACCGACTTTTAATGTAATACTGTTTTGTTCAGCTCCTCACAAAACCTTTTGATTTGATAAACCAAGTGGAAGCTCTGCTCGCAGGCCCCTGACTTCCTGTGTTCACCAAGGAGTTTCTAAAGCCGTTTTCAGATTGAGATTCTGCAACAGTGCCGTAATGAAGCCCTGCCGCTATTACTCTTATCTACTTTCAAATTGGTGACCCAGTCCGTGATTTCCCATTACGTTACCGTGTTGCAGAAGCACAAGGTGTGAAGAAAAAGCAGGTGCTTCACATACACGCACAATCAGACATGTGCACGCACGACTTGGTCCCACTATCCCTCCATGACACGAAGGTGAGACATTACAGGGGCATAAATATCGCACATTAAAACTGACAATATGAAAAGGACATAAAAAAACACTGATTTTAGTTTTTCTTTTTTTTTTCCAGGTTTAAATCACCTGGGGTCTCATTTATAACTGTTGCATAAGCACAAAACGGGGTCTGAAACTGGCGTACGCCTTTTCCCACGCAAAGTTTGTCATATATAAAAACAAACCTGACGGTAAAATGTGCACACCGGTAAGCAAACTCTGACCCAACCGTACGTTCATTTTGGAGGCATGGGAAATTGGTGACACAGACGATGAAGTGGTGAACTGAAGCCTGCAGATACATATTGATGTCTCTTCCACATTTTATTTAACTAAATATCAAACTTTACTGACAGATCCACGTCATCAGAATCATTCAAACCGATGGTTTTATTTAGGCTATAATTGCGCATGTAGTGAGCCGTTTCATTATGACAATATATAAACATAAAATAAAATAACATACATATTACATCAGCGCCGTCTCGCCTTCATTATCCCGGACGGACCTCAGAGGACGGGACTTGTACACTAATGTAATCACTGATATAGAGTTAAAAATTAGACTAACACAAACACCATAGAGCATTTTCATTAATATCTTTCAATATCGTGCATTTATCATCTAGTGTGATTTTTAGTTTTATTAAAGATGCCTGCGTCAAGACGCACAGAGACACGGCGATGGCTTCACACATTTCACCTTCTCGTTACTAAGCACTTCATCTGAGTAAAGTGCACTTCATCAGCTGCAAGTATTTATTCTGTATTTATAAATACAGAATCGAAATTTAAGTATTTATTCTGTAAATAATTCAAGTGTGGACATTAAGTCGGAGCATCTCTGACACGATCATTAGGTCTATATATCCTCATAATGAGTCGCAGAGCAGACACAGTTTCCCATGAAAAAAAGGGGCCAACAATCAAAAGTTTTTGTTCGTTGATCAAACTTTTGATTACTATTATCATACAGTGAGGCAGACTGCTGACTGACGTGAGCACTCTGACAATATGAACAAGTCAGTGTGGGTCCTGTAAACATGTAAACATTGCAGATATACCCGTGTGTAATGATGAACGGTGGATGTTTTGGGGCTGTAGGAGGACAGCGTGAATGCAGCAGCGACGTGGTGTCATTCTCTGATTTTTTTTCAGTTTGTGATCCTCCTGCTGCAGTAAACTATCCATATGTCCATTTTATCCTCCACTTCATTCACAAACTCCTCCGTTTCTGGGTCAGAAAGTTTCATTTCTTTGTCTAAACTTCCGGGATCCAGCGCTGGAAACCTGTGATCTGCCCCCTCGTTTGTATGAGGGGGCATTTTCATTCACAAGCTGCTTTTTATTGACCGTTTATGGTTGAATGTGGGCGTGTAGAGGGCGGAACATGGGACTAATCTACGTGCGCACATTTCCAGGTGGATCGTGATTTATAAAGGGAACTTTGCGTGCAGGTGTGCGTACCAACGGTTTTATAAATCTGAATCATTTTGTGCGCACGCCATTGCCGGGTTTTTGGCGCACATACATTTTTAGGATGGATTCTACGCACTCTTTTATAAATGAGACCCCTGGTCTCTTTGCTCTCCAGAGGTGAAGAACTCTGAATACTAATCACTGACTTTAACTATAATTGCCACTCTGAAGTACCTGACTCTAGAGCCGAACCGTACTGACAGACACTCATCCACAGACTGGTCTTGCATTAATCGATATATTACATACAACAATCGACCTCAGAACATCTTCGAGAGGATTAAAGTTCAGGGTTTGCTCCGTCTGTGTCGGTCACAGTCATAAACTGCCCCAGAAACCCCATGAAAGGTGCTGTGGTTACAAAATCCTCCCACAATCTGTAATGTAACATATATATATATATACATACATATTAAATGAAAAAGGGTAACCGTTTTAAATATAGATTTTCTTTTACACAACTGTGCCATGCTTCTCAAGTACAAGTTTGAAAAACGCACGTACAGTATAATTTTAAGTGGAGCATATAAAGCAAACGCATGTTTGGGTTAATGAGTGGTGAAGCATGATGATGAAATCTAAATTACAGAATCCAAACAAAACCTAAATTTACCTTGTTTTTATCATTCTAAATGTCATTATTACACCACTGTGTGTCTACTGTGTTGCCTCAATACCTTCATAACAGTGATGAGCAGAGTAACTTGTGACAGCAGTCTAACTCAAGTGGGTCAAATTTAGGTCAAAAACACGTCCAGTGGAGCTCATCTTACACTCGTGTCCTGTTTAAAAGGGGCCTCAGTGAAGACAGCTAACGCCACCTCATGCTCCTACTTATATGCACAAATTGCTTATAATAAACAGGATCTGCTCAGTGGCATTTAATGCAGATTGAGAGCTCCTCATGGGCCTTAAAAGATAGCCGCAAGCTGGCTTTTTCAATCTTGTGTAAGACATATCACTGCTTTTATCACAGGATAAGGTTTAACCCAAATGTGCGTTTCAAATCAGAATTGAATGCATGAAAACCAGAAGTTCCTCACTAAATAGAACACTTCATCCTATAAAGTTCCCACTGTTGCTATAAATGTCAGTGAAGAATAATGTCAAAGTGCCTCAGCACTTTGTGATGTCAGAATGAGGGCAAAAAACCCAGAAACACCTGTGTTGAGTATGACTTTGCAGTTTTGTAGGGATTTAGGGTAGTCGTGCTATCTTGATGAATTTAGAAAGTTGGAAACAAACTTATGCATCTTCATGAAGAGACCAAAAACTTAAACTACAAGTTTCCAGGTTGGCTGCCCCTGGTAGACAAGACATGTACTTTGGAATTATACATCAGGGTCAGACTAAAAGCAAAGCCAATTTGGGGATGGGAACATTCATACTTACGCACCACTTGCACGTTACAAGTATTCAGATGTAATTTGCATGCTGCTGTTGTCTTGTGTCAACACCGACTATGTACTATCACTTATAACAAATCTGAATCCTCATAAAAGCTATTTCAGCAATTTTTTGACATGTTTATTACATGTAATCACAGGATAATCTGTCTAATTTGCGTTTATAAGGCATTAGAAGTCCAGATTCTTGTGATTTATGAGGGACCATGACGGGCCACTCACGATTGACAACAGGGAGGCAATCCGCAACAGAAATGGAATGACAACTGAACCATCAAGGTCGGCCTTAAGTAGCTTAAAGTGTCAGTAAATTGAATCTAGACACAATTGCTGGAGAAGGCGGCGAAATCAACCTAGCTTTGTGTGCCTCCAGGTGATGTTATAAAGCTTTGACTTGACTCATTTGATGTTCCAGAGAGCTAGAGAAATACTCTCAGGTACCATGACAGAGCAGTGTAAATGACTTTGGGATCAAACAGGTAGTGCACATCCACACTATCTCATATCACAGACACTAGTACTTTATGACTTCATGTCAACAAACTTGGAATATAAGTTACTCAATCACTACAAGAAGAAGACTCTGTGGAGCATATGGTCACCTCTTGATGTTTGCTTGAGGTGTGACACACAGCACAGGATGGTTTATTCATTATTTTGCCTTGGGTTCAGGGTGTTGTTTACACTATGTCAGTTTTACTGTAACCATTTCCATCTATGTATGACACGCTGTTTCTCACGTGACACAGCATGTAAGACCATGTCAGGAAACTTTGAGGCAAACCTCTGACCCATCCTGTTACTGATGGAAGTTACAAACATTTCTATTCAGAAGTTATAAACAAAAATGGGAAAACCCTTTAAAAAAAAAAAGTTGTGTTGTGATGTCTTGTTAAGTAGGAATGTGTAAACTCCACCACACATCACAAATGATGATCCGTGTAACCATGTACTGATATAATTGTCATGACAACAGACAGGAAATCTAAAAACACGGCTGTATTCATGATCTATTCAGTATTTCCAAAATTCTGGTCATTGCCCTGTTTATACTTAAATGCCGCCCTGTTTTTTTTTTAGTGCTAAATGTTATGACATTTTATGTGGGTCAAAGGGAACGGAATTTTGTTTTCAAGTCCAATAAGTTGCTGCTGCTTTGCGACCTATTGCAATTTGACAGACTTATGGTTTAAAAAAAAAAAAAGCTCAGATCTTTATGAACTAGTTTGTTTGAATGTCTAACAAAGGCTACTTTAAATAAAGAGGCCAAAACTGATGTTTGACAATGACTACACTACTTAACAGAAGGGATGGTTAGATGAAAAAATGAATCCACTCATGTGCCATTCTTTTTGTAAGGATCAGTGACTTGATATAACAGTCTCTTAGGGCTTTCACACTGGAAGAAATCTCCTGAAAAACTCAGGATATTTCCCATAGGAGCTGTATATATATGTGAATGCAAACAGTCAAAGTTTTTGCTCGGACTTCCACCGGAGTTTCTCCTGCCAGGTCCCTAGTATTTTTTCAATAGCAAGTCCGAGTGGGCTGACGTGAGAACGTGGAAACTTGCAGACCAATGAGAAGCTTTCAAAACGATCCTACGAGACACTACTCAGCCTCAGTTAGGAGACCCTTCTATATTTAAAGTTCTAGGCAGGACTTTAAGCTTTGAACACTGATGAAGGCTTTAAGCTGTAACACGTCCGATGTCGATCTGCACACTGCTGCTCTACCCAGATTATAAAAATGTTAGAGGGCATTGAGTGTGCCAACTTTTCTGTTTTCTTATAAGCCTTTGTGCCTTGGTCGTGCATCTGAAGATTTGTTACTGTTTGAGTTTGCGCCTTTTTCTGCTGTTAGGATTTAAAACTTTGTCAGCTCCACTTTTACATTTTAAGTTATGTGTGTGGAGTAATGCATCGTAGGGTTGTCACAATACCACATTATTAAACTTCCGGTACGATTCTAGTAGAAATCAAAACGATATCAATATCTGTTTGGATACTACAGCAACAAAAATACAAGTCCCAGGCACCCAATATTGGGTAATTTATTGTTCTTTATTACCAAAACAATTCTCCAAACTCCTGCACACTGTGTAATTCACACATGGCTCCTTCTCTCCATTTCCTTATGGTAGCTTTTGGTTTAACACATTTCTTTATAAGCTGTGGTGCATTTCTTTGTCATTAAATAAAGGAGATGGTATCATTTTAAAACACTTGGTATCGAAAAGTACATAATCGAAATTTAGATCGACATATAGTGATGTATTGCAATATGTATCCTATTAGGACCCCATGTATAGCGATATGTGTGTCGTATTGTGAAGTTCATGCCAATACTCAGCCATAAAGATGAGAATCACACTGGTCCAATAACACCACATAGTGTAAAGGAGTGACACATTTCATTTACAGTCTGATGTAATTAGCTTTAGGTGGTTCTAGACCACTTTTACTGAGGGGGCCAAACTGGGGCCAGTTGTTTTGTCAGAGGGGAACATTAAACCCAGGTGAAAAATAGACAAAGATGATCGCTTTAAAAATATATAAATCATGCCAAATAATAGCGCACATCATTAAATACCATGATTTATATTTGTCTCAGTATTTATTACTAGATAGTCAGTCCGGTTGTTGGGTCACATACTGTACGTGTTATGAGGGGGTCTCTTCCTTTTGGAGGGGTGGCCACTGGGGGAACCAAGCTCAGTGTCATAGGGGCCCTGCCTAGAACCGCCCATGTTTAGGATCATCACCATCATGTCTACCAGTGTCCCGACTTCTTCATTTATTTTTTCCTCTCCTACAGACAGTTAATTCCTCTTCATCTTTCTTTCATGGACAAACTTTTGGTTTGGCAGGGCCAATCAGGGCAACGAGAGTGAGTGAGTGAGTGAGTGCTGTCAGATGGGGCCCCCTTAGGGAGGTTGCCTACTGTACTGTAGTTGCACAATTTGCATATTTTAGGCCACTGCTTTGGTTTAGGTTTTTCAGCCCTGGGGGGGGGGGGCAAGGCAAATGTCTGTTGACAAGCAGCGCCTCTGAGGAGCTTCTTTTTCTGCAAGTTCAACATATATGGTGTACATACAAGCTGTTTGGAATAGGCTGGAGGACTGTGTAAACAAAGAGACATAAGAGGGACAAGAAAAAGCTGTTTTACGCCCTGAAGAGGCAGCTAACAGTGTACAGCAATGTTAGCTGCTGCTTACACTAACTCGTACAGTCTGCTCGCTGCCACACACACCTGAGCCTCCTCGCTGCCATCTCTTACCTTATAATAGACATCGAACTGTATGTTTTCCGGGAGCGACCTTATGTCCCTTCTTGAGCGGCTGTAGTTGTCCACCACAGCCGAGATAGCGGTGTTGTAAAGGGTTTCAGGGATCCATTCGAGCTCCACCGCCGCCATGTTGTTTTCCCTCTCCTAAAAAAAACACAGCCCAGCAGCTACAGCCCTCCCCAAATCTCCCTACACTCACTACCTCGATTAAAACACGTCCTCCGCGGGGCCTCATACAACATCCGCCTTACAGAGAATCACAAATATAACCGAAGTACCGCTGCGACTATAACAAACACGCTGTTTAATTCCCATTTCCCCCCTTCATCTTCAATTACTCGTCGACCCTACAGCAGTTCCGTCCCCCCCCCACGTCCCGACGTGAACATCCACTGGCGCTGACGCAATGACGTCATCGTGCAGGAGATTATTGGCAGAAATAAACCTTTTATTGTAAAAACAACACAAACTCCCCAATCTCAGATAGTAATGTATTCTGTTTGACATTAATCATTAGAATTTAATTATTAAATAATTGTTTAGTAAATTCCAAACTTGTTATGTCGGTGTCTTAACATGCAATAACTTTGTAATTCACTGCTTTATAATTGTCTATTTACTTACTCAGTCACTGCACTTTAACTTTAACTGTTTATTTATTTATTTATTTATTCATTGCACTAAAACTGTTTATTTACTCATCCAGTCACTGCACAATAATAACTGTATATACTCTTTCACTGCACTATAACTTCACTTATTTGCACTATATATCTCTATATTTATATTTGTTTAATTAATCAGTCACTGCAAAAATAATAACTGTATATATTCTTTCAGTCACCACAACTGTCTATTTATTTATAATTATTATCATTCATTCACTGAACAGCAATTGCTCTGACCACTTTTTACATACTTCTCTCTCATATCAACACAAATATATTTTTGTTGTTGTTTTTGTAAACGCTGCTGTTTAGGATTGCTGCTAACGAAGTTTCGTTGTGTCCTTGTATACAATGATAATAAAGATTCTATCTATCTATCTAATCATGTAATGAAAAGTTTATATTATCAGAATCAATACTGTGGATTTATATACTGTATTATTATCAATCCACTAATATTAATCTATGCATACTCTTAATGCAAATACTGAAAGAACTGAATGTATATTAACCCATCTGATGCATAATTACATATTGTATTATCATGTGTATCTCAACTTTTTTGGACTACCCACCACTGTACTATATTGTCTCATTTAGTCTTGTACATAGCATTTGCTTATTTTGTGTTTAACGTTGTACTTTTGTAAATATAGAGCACAGTTCACCAAAGTCAAATCCCTTGTGTGTAAGCATACCTGGCTGATTCTGGTTCTGATAAATAAAAACAATGTCCTCATGGGATACCACTGTACCAGTGTTTCCATATCTTGGATTGATAGCGTGTAAAGCAGCCCTTGATTGCTTGTCAAGGCCAGGATGATTTTATTTTCTGAGTTATTAAGCCGGCAAATACATTTATAAATAAAGATTCTCAAGATGACTTGCAGCATTGACCCCTGGCGCTACGGGGTATTCTCAGCAAGATTTGACTTGAAGTTTATGCAAGCTTGCATTACTGTAACAGTAAAATAGTGTCAGGGATAATAATCCAAATGGGTTTTCTTTTATTTTTTTGTATGATAAAGGAACAAGACATTTTAATTTCAGGACACACAATTCATATTAAATAAATCTATATCATCACTCTTAATCAGGTTATTCCTAAATATAATGACATGTTTCATGTATTAGTATCGTTCTTTTGTCTGGGATTTCTCGGAAAATGCTTAGTAAATAGCTCTTGATCGTCTTTCAATCTCAGAGAGTAAACACTGACAAATGTGGTTGTGTTCATCTGGATCTGTTTTTTTTTTATTTACATACGTTTGTGCAGCATTTTACCCTCTCTCCCTCCCAGTCGCTGCTCCAACATCCAACCGCTAGAGGGCAGCAGCTGCACTAGAGCAGGTAAATCTATGTGCTAGAAGAAGATAACTCTGACGTCATCACGTATGAGCATGCCTACTACGCTCGCACATAAACAAAGGCAGGACATAGCGCTACAGTAAGTGTACTCTTTTAATTTTATATACGACCAGAATCGAAAATTGGAGAGAGGTGCCTTCTCGAAACAATGGACAACGCACTTTTGATGCGAGTGAGTGTTTTCACCGACCAAGGAGGCAGGAAATACATGGAAGATGTGACCGAGGTCATAGTAGAGCCCGAGCCGGGGGAAGACGACTCGGCGTCGGTTTGTTCTCCAGCCGGTGACACGCAGACAGACCGGACCAGTACAACTGTGGAGTCCTCTCAGTTGTCAGAAGCATTATCTGAATTAGCACGAAGGGCAGACGAGAGTGTGGGAGTGGAAACACCTTTACCCGGAGGTCAGAGCCCGACTACAGCTGAGCCGAGCCCGGCGTGTCGGTCCCGCCGGTCGGTGGCTTTCTTCGCCGTGTTTGACGGACACGGGGGACGGGAGGCTGCGCAGTTCGCAAGAGACTATTTGTGGGACTTCGTGAAGAAACAGCGGGGGTTCTGGTCGGACTGTGACCGGGAGGTGTGCGCTGCCATACGCAAAGGATTTGTAGCCTGCCATCATGCTATGTGGAAAAAGCTGCGTAAGTTTATTAACACTTTACTAAGTTCTGATATACAACTTAACCCACATGTCCCTCTCCACCTGCTTCAGTGTGTACCTCAAACTAACCCGGGATAACACTAGTCTGTGTGGCCTACACCCTAAACGTTTTACTTAAAATCGTCTGTGTGTGTTACAGCTGTTGTCACCAGTTAACACGGTCACTCGTTAAACCATAACACCGGCTATCTCAAATGCATACCTCCGAATGTGCCGAATGGACTTTTTGGACTCCGGGACGGCAAAGTCACTCTCGCTTAGCTAACATTTTGTATCCGTTTTATTCATATTAAGGCAAACCAACATTTACAAACAATTTGCGCAGGTTACCTGTGTCTTTATTTAAGTACAACATGATTTTAGGGGTTAACAATGTTAGCAACCAAAGGCAGTGCAGCTAACAAAGTAACACTGCGTTCACGGAATGTCGGAAAAGGGCGTTTTCGACTTGGCAGTGTCACGTGAAGGCTTTCGTACGGGAGAAACAACATTTATTTTTTTGGTTAACGGGTTAAAACAACTTGACAAAGAAACATGACAGATTACAGTGAACGTTAATAAATCAAACATTGCAACTTACCCTCTTTGCTAATTTGACAATCCTGATACTGAATATTTATCTGTCAGTTGCTGGCCACATTTAGGTACCCTAATTTAGGTACCCTAAATGTCGTCGTGGATACTTAAATATGAAATATCATTTTGATCGAGTTCATGTTGTTTCACCCATAGGTTTCACCTTGTGAACCAGTTTGTCAGTATCAATGACTTTTAAACCTGGGAATTCCGAGCACCCCAGGAGCAAGTGAATACAGCAGTGTCGACTCTAAACAAAGCCTGCCCTAGCTCCCACAGGCAGATACAGAAGTACATTATGTTCACAAGATAAATCCCCGTCAATAGTCCACATATATATATACATTTTTATTAAACTCACTCTCTATCTGCTAGCGTATATGTAATGATTTACATGTATTTCGTTTTTTTACCCAATTCAAAGCCTATCGAAAAGTAGCCGATGGGTGCTGCACAGACACCAGCGGTGTGCTCAGCTGTCTGTCTGGATGTGCCTTTGGCATCTCAGCTGATATATTGCTGCTCAAACTGTCTACATTAATAAAAGCCATAGATACCATTAAAATAACGTTTCGAATTATAAACTCAATATTGTGTTTATTTTCATACCATCCGCCTTAACACTCAATGTCTCTCTTTTCTTTTTACAGCTGAATGGCCAAAGACACTTACAGGCCTTCCCAGCACATCTGGCACCACAGCCAGCGTTGTGGTCATCAGAGGAAATCGTATGTATGTGGCTCATGTCGGGGACTCTGCTGTGGTCCTAGGGGTCCAGGATGACCCCACAGTCCCCTTCATAAGAGCTGTGGAAGTCACACAAGACCACAAACCTGAACTACCCAGAGAGAGGGAGCGTATCGAAGGTCTGGGAGGGAGGTAAGACTTAATTCTAACCTGCTTCTGCACTGAATTTAAATATAGTTTTTATTTATAGCTTTTATACAATACTTGTTTTGTAAAGATCATTTTTACATAACCATAAATCAACAAGAAAGGCAAGAATTTTGATAGAGATCATGTCAAAACATGATGTGAATTAGCTGTTAAAGCTGTTTATGATGATGATGGTCTGAGACAGTAGATTGAAATGGTAAGTTAATGGCACAGTTTAGCAGGTGGAGGCAATTCAGGGAAAAGAAAAGGACATTCATTTCATGGACTAAACAAAATCCAGTTTCGTAATAGCTAATTCATTCACATTACTCACCAGCCTATCAACAACAAAGAAGTGATTGTAAACAAGAAGCATCTGTATTTCACAATAGCAGATCAAAATGTAATCTAATGTAATCTACCTCAGAGAATGATGTGTTTAACTGCCTGTGGTATGTCTACAGATAAGATACTGAGGTGTTAAGGTCCTTGGTGGCTTGCTTACAACAAACTTTTAAGCTTAAAGGAAAATACACAGCTGCCAAGATGAATTCTGGTATTTTTATTTTCGGTCCAAATAACTAATAAGGATCAAACGGTTGTGGGTTTGTGATCTTCCTCCAAAACACTGCTTCTTGTTATTCTTTGTAGTTTCAGGACACATATAAAGCAGCCCTCTCTTCTCCTCCTTCTGTTTTTCTACAGTGTAATCAAGAAGTCTGGAGTCAATCGGGTTGTGTGGAAGAGGCCGAGGCTGAGTCACAATGGCCCGGTCCGTCGGAGCACCGTCATTGACCAGATACCCTTCCTGGCTGTAGCTCGAGCTCTCGGTAGGAAAAGTAAAATAACAGTCATCTCAGTGAATGACCTGTTAGGATCACAGCAGAGCTGAATGACTACAGTTGCATTGTTGTTTTTTTGTGTTGCCATGAATAACTAACTAACTTTATTACAGTGAAAACCTTTATTTATTTTAGAGTTCTTCTCAAAGGTCCAGAGAGGTCAAACAAGTTCAACGATTTTTTTCCAATGTTTGGATCCAATAAACTGAATGACCCGTAAAACAAAATATATATATTATATATATATATATATACCTACTAACTTAATGATGATGGTTTCGATATCATTGATGATGGTTGTGACGATGGTTTTTGTTTGATAATGACGACTTATAAGATGGTTTCTATACTGATTAGAGCTCTCAAGAACTGCCCTCAATGTTGTGC